TGGGCAGCCTCCCATTCCCCAAGTGCCTCTTGTCAGCCAACTTCTTCAAGTGATGGAGAATAAGACACAGCACTGGCTGCCAACAAGCAGAGCCATCTACCATCTTAGCGCTCCAAAGATTGATTGGAAGCTGCTACTACACAAATAATTTCTGCAGTAGAGTTCTAGTCACCGAAAAATAGTAAAAGCATTTTCTTTGGGATTTTAAAATGCATGTCCATGGGCTGGAGAGACGGCTCAGCTGTTAAAGGCTAGGCTGACAACCATAAATACAAAATACATGTTCAGTAGTATGGAACTCAGGCTCCCCAAAGACATCAAACCTACTGTAGGTAAATGGCATATCCTAGTGGACTCCCATAAGCTCAGCACTTGGGAAGTGCTACGAGGCTTAGAAGGTTATCCTTAGCTACTCAGTAGGTGAAGCCAGCTGAGACAAAAAATAGTGGCTAGAAAGATAGTTCAGCATTCAGGAGCACTGGCTGCTCTTCCAAAGGACCCAGGTTCAGTTCCCAGCACCTTCATGATGACTCATAACAGTCTCTAACTCCAGGCCCAGGGGATCTGACCTCTGGCCTCTATAGGCACCAGACACATAAGTGGTGCATAAACATATATGCAGGCAAAGCAGCCCTTCACATAAATTTTTAAATAAATAAAATGTGGGTACTAAAGTAGGTTGAGCTGCTAAAGCTAGGCTCTTCTAGTTCTACAACAGAAGACTGGGGGTTGCAGATGTGGCTCAGTAGCAGGGCTTGCCGGCCCAGTATGTGCAACAGCTGTATATTCTATTCCTAACAGCATGGGGAGGGGGTGGAGGTCATTGTTGAATGCCTATAGATTCTCCTAATCCAAAAGGAACCTGCGTAAATTAATCTAACATGGTTTAGAAAACACCTGCCAATCGGGGCAGTGAGGACCTCTGCCATGTTGCCCATGTGTTCCTTCAAGCTTGACTTTGCTGCTGCTTAGGGGGTCTTCATCTCTATTGTCAACTCCAGATCTCCCTTTTTTTTCTGTTTTGTTTTAAGATACAGTTCTTGTAGGCCAGTGGGCTCGTCAGACTTACTCTGTAGCTGAGAATAACTTTGAACTCCTGATCTTTCTGTTTCTACCTCCCAAGTACTAGGATTGCAAGTGTAAGCCATCACAGCTACTTTGGTTTTTAGAAAGGATCTCACTATGTAGCCTGGGTTGATCCTGAACTTGAGATCCTGTCTTCTCCTCCCTCCCAGCTGGAAGGGAGACTGCTATGCCCTATCTTCCTTCTTGACAATGACTTGTGTTTCTTCCCCCACTCCTCCTTGGCTTCCCATAATGGTCAATCTCCAGTAATAGAAATGGCAACTCCCAAATAGAACCCAACATCTCCCTTTTGTCCATGTTTGTTTTTTGTTTTGTTTTAAATAGGATCTTTCTATGTAGTACTGGAGATCAGTCTGTAGACTAGGCTGTCTATGAACTCAGATCCTCCTGCCTCGACCTCCTAAGTCCTGCTTTAAAAGAGCATGCCACCATGCTGACCTGGAATCTGCCCTGCTGCATAGTTGGAAACCCACTCCAGATCTTCCACACCATTATCGTGCTTTCATGGCTTTTTGGAGGCCTCTCCAGCCCACTAATCTCTCAGCCTTCAACTCAAGTTCTTTGTCCCTAAAAAGTTACCACATCCTTCTGGTAGACTTGCTATCTAAAGAATCAGTTATTCCTAATGAACAGTCCATGTCCATGCGTCAAATACCAGAATTCTGATGCTGTATGACACAGGCTGACACTTGCCAAAAGGTCAGTTGAGGCCATTACTTCTGTTGTTGTTGAGGAGTCTCCGGTTGCCATTCTACCATCAAACTTCTTGTGTAGCTAAGGATGTGGACTCCTGGCGATGCTGCCTCCACTTCCTAGGTGCTAAGTTATATCTGGGTGCCACTATGCCCAGTGAGACTGCTAATCGTCCTCCCCACCACACACCCGCACTTTAGTTTTTCCAGACAGCATTTCTCTGTGTAACCCTGGTTGTCCTGGAACTCTCTTTGTTGATCAGGCTAGCTTTGAACTCCTGTTAGAGCCAACTGCCTCTGCCTCCCAAGCACTACCACTAAAGGCATGCAACTACCATTGCCAGCTTAAGATACTCCCCTTTTCTTGTTTGTTTGTGTGTTCTTTCATTAATTAATTAATTCACTTTAGAGCCCGTTAGGAAGTTCCATTCCCTTCTCTCCTCCCAGTTCTTCCCTCTCATCTTCCCTCCCTTCCCCCTGTGCCCTCTACTTTTCTTCCAAGAGAAGGGTGGACCTCCCATAGGTATCAGCCTGCCTTGGCCTATCGGACTGGCACATCTTCTATTGAAGCTAGACAAGTCCAGTTAGGGGAAAGAGATGCAAACGTAGGCAACAGAGTCAGACACAGCCCCTGCTCCTGCTATCAGAGGTCCCACATGAGGACCAAGTTGTACACCTGTTACATATGTGAGGGGCCTAGAACCGCCCCATGGATCCTCTCTGGTTGATGGTTGAGTCTCTGAGCCCCCATGGGTCCAGGTGAGTTAATTGTGTAGGTTTCCTTGTGGAGTCCTTGACCTCTCTGGCTCCTTTGGTCCTTCCTCCTCTTCCATAATGATTGCCTGAGCTCCACCTAAATTTTTGCTGTGGGTCGCTGCATCTGTTTTCATCAGCTGCTGGGTGAAACCACTCAGGTGATTTCCGCTAGCCCCCTGTCCGCAAGAACAGTAGAATGTTATCGATAGTGTCAGTGGTGTACTCTGATGGCGTGTGACTCAATGGGCCAGTCATGGATTGTCTGGGTCAGAGGTTTTGTGCAGGGGTTGGTGTACACCTCCCTCCATGGGAAGTCTCTCCTGGCTGTAGGAGGCAGCCACTTCAGCTCCAGACCCCCGCTCCAGGAAGTCTCAGCTGGAGTCAAAACCATGGACTCCCGGGAGCCTCCCCCTTCCCAGAGATGAACCACACACACACTGATTTCAGTACTCTCTTCCAGCCCTCCGCCCTTTCCCCATGCCTGATCCCCACCCCCTCTCTCATCCAGTTCCCTCCCTCCATCTTCTTCAGATGTCTATTTTATTTCCCCTTCTTCAGCCATTCTTTGGTTAAGAGACATCTAGATTGTTTCCACTTTCTGGCTATTACAAATAAAGCTGCTATGAATATAGTTAAGCAAGTGTCCTTGTTGTATGGTAGAGCATCTTTTGGATATATGCCCAGGAGTGGTATAGCTGGGTCTTGAAGAACTATTTCCAGAACTATTTTCTGAGATACTGACAGATTAATTTTCAAAGTGTTGTACAAGTTTGCACTCCCACCAGCAATAGAGGAGTGTTCAAAATAATCTTTTTATTCCTCCAAACTTGATAAAGTCTGTTCTTGCATTTATTAAATTACTGAGAAAGACATGTACTTGTACTGCATTTATTAAGCAGTAAACTGATATCAGGTCCTTCGTGGGCTTTATTGTTGTTGAGATAGGATTTCACTATATACATAACCCAGGCAGATCTTAACTTTATGATCCTCCCACTTCAGCCTCCTGTGTTCACCAGCCACTTCGAATCCCCAGCTATGTCTTTGGATTCTTGAGAATCCAAAGTTGACTGTGTCCTTCACTTGTGTGTGTGTGTGTGTGTGTGTGTGTGTGTTTGTTTTTGAGACAGTGTCTTGTTGTGTTGCTAAAGCTGGCCTCAAACTCAAAATATTCTGGTTTTAGTGTCCCAAATGCCTAGAGCACAGATGTACCTCTTGGCTAAGCAAAATTTATTTGAATAGTGCCTGCCAATTTCATTGTCTCTGCATACAGACTAACTTCTTTTGATTCCTATGAGTACTGCATATCCCAAGGTTTCCCTTTGTGCTTTGGCCACCAGGGATGTCATAACTAAGTCCTGAGACTCCTGATACATCTCTTTCTTAACTTTTCTTGCTTTGGTGTTTGTTTTGTTTTGTTTTTGGTTGTTGTTGGTGGTGGTGGTGGTTTTTAGAAACAGGGTTACTCTGTATAGCCTTGGCTATCCTGGAACTTGCTCTGTAGACCAGGCTGGCCTTAACTCAAGGATCACCATGCCTCTACCTTCTGAGTGCTAGGATTAAAAGTGTGCCACTACGCCCAGCTCTTATCTTCCATTTTTTAATTTTCTGTATCAGCATTGTCCAGTTTGGTGACCACTAGGCATATGTGTAGTCATATGTGGCAATTAAGCACCTGACTCAACAGGTAGCTAGATCATCTTGAGTTGATCTCTGAAATAGTTCAGTACTTCCTAATATTGATGACATAGTAAAATATTTTGTATATACCGAGTTTAGTAAAATAGTAGGATTAACTTCACCCATTTCATTTTATTGAAATTATAGCTCCTAAAATTATCTATTTATTAATTTCCTTATTTGTGTGTATAGACTAGTATATGGAGGTCATAGACAATTTTATGGAGTTGATTCTCCTATTAAGTGTGTTTCAGGATCAAATTCAGATTTCCAGGCTTGTACAGCAATTGCCTTTCCCTGCTGAGCCTTGTCATTAGCCTACAGAGCTCCTAAAATCTTGAAATTATCTGTCTCAAAAATCCTATGTGAGGCTTGCATTTGTGACTGCATTGTCTGTCTTACAGCACTGCTCTACAAAGCATCCTGCTTTATGAGCATGTTATTGCTGTAAACCTCATCCTTTTGGAAAGCAAGGAAATAAGACAGAGGAAGTTACAACAGTGTGTAGTGAAAAGAGGGAGTCTAGCCTAGAGACATTATCTTTTCTCTGTTTGCGTTTTGTTTCTATAATCCACAAGCAACAAAAACAGCCCTTGGTAAAGAGTTTTTCAGCTCTTTTTATCCCAGGTGAGTAGTATTCAACAGCTCTTTCTAGTCTCCAGGAAAAACCTGTTCTCAGCTTTACTTTACCTAACATATTGGAAAGGATTGGATAAGACACGTCACACATAACAAATGACTGATAACTCTGTTCACCTCTCTCTGGGGGTGTTTCCATTTTAACAGGGAACAATCCCTGAACCCAAAGGAATGAATCCCTAATGGTGGAGTTTCAGGCCTCAGTGACAGGTGAGTGAGGGTAGACTCTGGTTTTCTGTTTATACATGTTGTTACATCCAAGATGTGACTGGAAGCAGGGTTCTCGGATGAAAAGGGCTATAGACAAGCTGCTCAGAGCAGGCAGCAAGGCTAACTGTGTCAGTGAAGGGCTCTCAGACACCAACTTCAGTGAAGGACTTAAGGGCTTGTTAAGCAATAAAGTAGTGCAGCTGATGTCAAGAGACTAGGCAGCAGGACAGTCTCCATGGTAACTATTGTGGAGTAGCAAGAGGGCTGTCAGAGTAGGATTCTGGAGATGATTACTGCTGTCCACAACTGACTCGGCTTAACTCTGGGCAAGTCCTTTACCCTTTGGGTCTCAGTTTCTTCATCTGGAAAATAGAAATGGTGCTATAGCCATGTGTGATGGTGCATACCCATAATCTCAGAATTGAGAAGGCTGAGGCAGGTGGATCATTAGATTAAGGCTAGCCTGGGCTACATTAGACTCTATGTCAATAAAACAAAACCCCCATAAGAAGTGGGTGCTTTGTCAGACGAGTTCGAAGTGTCATGAAGCTGCTCTAAGAAGAAAAAGTGTACTGCACATGAAAGCACCAGTATCTTTAACTGGAATGCAGCCAGGCAGGCTAGAGCTCCAGGGAACAGAAAGCAGTGTGGAGGGTTGTGGGGGATCCTGAGGGTGGACTCTCCATGTCTGGAACATTCATTCTTCTTTGTCTTCCCAGGCTGAACCCAGACTCCCAGGGCCCATGCTTCCACCTGATGAATGATGGCCTGAACTATGAGCAAACCGGATTATATGAACACTTCGGTGCAGGAGCCTCCTCTTGACTTCTCCTTTAAAAGCATCCACGTGATCCAAGGTCAGCCCACAGAGCACAGCACCCAACACAGCATGACCTCAGGCGGTGTGGTACCAAGAAAACATCTTTATGTATTCTTTTTAAAAAGCCTAAACTGATTGTCTTGTTGTCTTTGAAGGAAGGAGGGGAGGGGGTGGAATGATAATTTCTTTGTTGTTTTACTGAGCTAAGGAGTGAGTGCAAGGCCTATGTGCTCTACATCTGAGCTTCATCCTCAGCCTTAAAATTAAAAAAATACTTGGTTGGAGAGTATAAAACATACTTGGAGGGCTGGAGAGATGGCTCAGAGGTTAAGAACACTGGCTGTTCTTCCAGAGCTCCTGAGTTCAATTCCCCGCAACTACATGGTGGCTCCCAACCTTCTATACTGGGATCTGGTGCCCTCTTCTGGCCTCCACACATGCAGGCAAAACAATGTATACATAATAAATAAATTTTAAAAATACATAGGTTAACTTTCTGTATATGGGTGTTTTGCCTGTATGTATGTCTGCACCCCTTGTATACCTGATGGAGGCAGGGGCCTGCAGTATGTATTAGTCTCCGCTCCGGGAACCTGGACTTATGGATGGCTGTGAGCCCCCATGAGGGTGCTAGAAATTCAACCAGGTCCTTTGGAAGAGTGGCCAGTGCCTTAACTACTGCACTATCCCTTTCAGCTCCCTTGAGATTTTGTGCTCATTTTAAAACACTATTCTGTTTGAAATTTCTTAAAGCCTTTCCCTTTCAACCCCCCAACCCTAAGTAGGGAAGAGAAGGCTAGTGGGGAGACAGAGCACAGACCCCTTTACTTCTCCTGGCCATTTAGGGATCAGTGGGTTCTTTTAGGGCTATTCTCATCAACAATTACCTGTCAACAGCAAAAGCCTCAGTCTCCTCCAAGCTCCTGTGTTTCTTTCTCTTTGTCTGTCTCTAAACTGCCACTCATCACACACCGCCTCAGGACACACTTTCTCTTTTTGGGCTCTCACATTTAGAGGCTCAGAGCTTTAGACCACTCCCCCTCCTTGCCACAGGAGGTCAAAGACCATGCCCTGCTCGAGACAGTTCCCAGCTGTGGACAAATCAAAGCCCAAACTAAAATCCCACACTTGAGATTAAAACGATCACATATTTACATAACATAACTGAGTTTTTAAAGAAACCAAAACTTCCATTACATGAGATTTTTCTTTTGTAATTTTTAAAAAGATGTTTATCTATCTATCTATCTATCTATCTATCTATCTATCTATCTATCTATTTATTTATTATGCAGTGTTGTGCCTGCATGTGTGCCTGCACACCAGAAGAGGGCACCAGATCTCATTATAGATGGTTGGAAGCTACCATGTGGTTGCTGGGGATTGAATTTAGGACCTCTGGAAGAACAGACAGTACTCTTAACCTCTGAGCCATCTCTCCAACCCACACACCCAGTTTTTTAAAGTATCAAATCTGAAAGTAACCAGGAGTCTCTTATGGCAGTTGACCCATTTTCAGAAGAAGCCAGGATATAGCAGGAGATTTGTGAAGAATACTGAGAAATCACCCAATCAGGTAGAAAGCTTAGTGTTCTGGTTTTATCTTGAAAAGAGGAGGGGAAAAAAAAATAAGCTGTTGCCAGGTCTACACTGGCAGAACCCTGTCTCTTGTCTAGGAACATGACTCTGTTCTGCTCACTGGTAAAACCTGAGATGTTTTTTTTAGCAACAAATTGGCACATTCCCAGTTAAAATTTTCTCCATTCATTCCACCCATACTGAATTTATTCCATCATCACCAAAACTCACTGCAGTTCCAGCGCTGCCCACATACAATCTCATTTTACTATCCAACATCTTCCTAAATAGACAGCTAACTCCTTTCGCGGTGCACGTCAAAGCTCACAGGACCATAGATGCTCAAGGTGTAGGCAGTTCTGCCATCCCTGCCTTTGGTCACTGACCTCACAGAGCACATGTACAAACTTACTAACCCAGATACACTAACTGCTTTGGGTTTTCCATCAGATAGCCACCCATCAGCTCGGAGTTACCAGCCTGGGCTTCAGTGTAGCACACCACTTCAGTTAGTGTCCACCACACTGCTAGCTCTCGTCTGTCTCTTCCCGCACACACTCACCTACTGTGGCCTTTATTGTGCTCTGCATTACTTCTGACTGCATATTTCAAAAGGGTTTTGTTTGCAACAATAACTTTGAGCAAGAAAGCAAAGGTGACTGGGGTGGAGTGTAATGGCTCCTAATAGAGCAGAGGAATTTTCAACTTTTTTAAAAAAGGGTTATTATTTATATACAGTGTTGTGTTTGCATGGACACCTGCACGCCAGAAAAGGACACCAAATCTCATTATAGATGGTTGTGAGCCACCATGTGGTTGCTGGGAATTGAACTCAGGAGCTCTGGAAGAGCAGCCAGGGCTCTGAACCTCTGAGCTGTCTCTCCAGACCCGAATTTTCAACTTTATTTTTTTTAAATTTGTTTTAATTTTATTTTATGTGCATTAGTGTGAAGGTGTCAGATACCTTGGAATAGGCATTACAGACAGTTGTGAGCTGCCATGTGGTTGCTGGGAATTGAACCTGGTCCTTTGGAAGAGCAGCCAGTGCTCTTAACCACTGAGCTATCTCTCCAGCCCCGAATTTTCAACTTTCAATGGGAAGGTCTGACTCTGCTTTGTGGCCTCCTCAGAATGAGGGAAACACTGGTCAGGTCTCCCCAGTGTACTTGTACAGCACCAGAGAGAATCTGCAGATGCTCCGTGCTCCATCCAGGAGCTCAGCATCTCCTGAGCCTGTCAGTTAGTAAGCAATTATGCACATACACGTGCAGACATACACACCAGGCAGTTGTACTCCTTGCTAAGTCTCTTGGGGGTGGGTAGAGTAAAAGACATATAAAATCTGAGCCCTTTCAGTTCCCCAGGGCTTCAGAAACTTAAATTAAAAGGCGGCTAGAGTTGGGGTTACTGGGACACTACCTGCTGAGTTAATCCAGATGGATCACAGATCTGAGACATCTAATTTGGACTACCTGATGAAGCAGAAGCTTTGGGAGTGTTAGCAAACATGGCTTACCCCATGCACAACCAGCCCTTGCTAATGTGCATTCACAAACACAGCACTAAAGGAGTTCTCCATATACACCTGCCAGTCCTTTCCACCATGGTCACCGACAGATGACACTAAAAGCTCTATCAGACTCACTTCTGCTCATGCTGGAAAACTTGCCTAGCAACACTTTAGAAATCAGGAAGAGGATCTCAGGAATCTCTAAGATTCCCTTCAGTCAGTGCCTCCCAATTCTAATTCTGTTAACTGTTGATATTTGTGGTCCAGTTTCCAGACCTACTCTCAACTAGGAATCTTTTAACACACGCTCAAGTAATGTGCTACGTTGGTGTAACCTAAGGGTCAGGTACCTATAGCAATTTTGGATGCCCCTTTACACAAAGTAACAGGAGCTCAGGCTGCCTCATATTCTAGGTAACTCCATCCAGTGGCTCCCTCAAAGCTTAGGACCAGCCTTTGTATGTGACACTCTTCTAAGATTCTACACTATCAGAACAGATGTTGCTTTGTGTGGAGTTATTCTGACACTTTTGTTCATCTAAATCAAATCATTTGAAAGTTTTTGGAAGGTGTGAGAGGGACACATGATTTGGAGCCTACTCTTGGTCAGAAACACTTTGCTCTGTTAATCCTCCCACGCCCCCTGCAGGCCTCAACCTGGGTCCCGTGCATTCCAACACTAAGGCAAGAGCCACCTGGTGGATGCTTTCTGATCTGCAGCTAGAGAAAGTCAGCAGGGATGGAAGTGTGTAAGGATGGGCTGGTTAGATTTCACAGATGCTAAGTGCTTTGTCCCTACAGGCCACTTGAGACTTGCTAAGGGCTTGGAGGCAGCAGGGAAAATGGAGCCATTTTAAAACCGTAGTCTGGTTCCGGTTCTCCCACAAATCAGCTTGGGAAGAGCCCCCCCCCCCATTATGAACCTCTCTTGAAAAAGACAGCAGGGGAAGGGTGTGTGTGTGTTTTCTCTGCACCCTCACTTTCCAGTGGGGGTGCTCAGGCTACCTGCTTGCTTCCTATTCATTTTCACTCCAGTTTAGCTTCTGTCCTCAAGCCTATACACAGTTACCATATCTCTGAGCTGCCAGAATTAGTATTGAATCTTCGTCTTTCCTGGAACTTACTCCTCCATATTCTGCAGATTCTCCAAATACCTTTAAACTATTCTCTCAGGGAGTTGAACACTGGCTGCTCTTCCAAAGAACCCAAGTAGGACGCTCAGCACTCCCATGGCTCATAACCATCTGGAATTCTCGTTCTCAGGACTCTGATGACCTCTTCTGGCCTTACTAGGCATGGCACACAGACATGCAGACAAAACCAATCTCTCCTGTTCTTCAGATTATTCACTAACTTTATAAATGGCTTCCTCTTGCCTCTCTGAGGAATTGCCTCTCTCCCTAACAATACCTACTCTACACTAACAGTTTGCAAGGCTGTCTCCTCAGCTCTAGACCTTCATTTTTGCCTACCTGCCTGACTTATCTTGTCTTCTCACAGAACAGGAACCTCTAACACATCAATCCTGAACTCATCACCTTTCCAATCCAATTTCTCTCAACTTTCTTTATCAGCTAATATAGCCAAACAAAAAGCTGGCACCCCATCATATAGCCGCCTACCTTTACATGAATTCAGTCAGCCAAATCATAGTTGGGATATCCCATTCTAACTGCTATGTCCATCTTCTTGCTAACTAGAGTAGAGTGTGATCTTTGAGTTCTAGCTACCTCCTAAATCCAGTCAACACTGAAGCTCCAAAGCCGCCTTTCAAGTGACAAGCTGCACTGTCTGTTTTAAACGCTGCAGTGGCTTCCCGTTACCTACAAGGACAAAGCCCGGGGTCTTAGCCTAGTAACTGGAACTAAGGCCTGGCTCCTGACTGCTTTTCTCCACTTGTGGCCTTGTGCATGTTGTTTCCATCCTGCTCTATTCTTGTGCAATTGTTCATGTTCTCACCCTCTCTCCCCTTCTCTGCCTGGTTAACACCCCCTAATCCACCAAGTTTGTATTTCACCTTCCCTGTGCTCTGAGTACACCAAGACCTTTTTCCTTGATGTAAGGACTATGGACTATCACACTACTCACTGCCCACAGAAATTCCTCTGGGACACACACCTGCTTCTTCCCTGCCCTATTATTTATCCAGAGCTCCATTCTCTTTCACTGTTAATACTATGTATGTCTTTTCTGCTACAGCTTGTCATTAATGAAGGAAAGGAAGGGAAGTGTTCCACTGAAGTGACTTCTATAAGCTACACTAGAATAAGATTCTGCCTTGTGTGATATGATCTTGGCCTACCCCAACAACTCTGGTTTACTTTATCCGCAAAATGGGAAGGGGTCTGCTCCACTCACAGGGGTGGCATACACAGAATCAAATGATGGCATGAGAACGCCTCTGACCGAAACTGCTTTGGCCTACTCTAAACTTGCTCTGGTCTTCATAGCTTGAGACAGGCAAGGTCTCAGTAGACTCTAGTGCTGGGCCCCTGCCAAGCCCTCAAAGGAGCACTTGTATGCCCATCTTTCCAGCTCCTCATACTCACTCCCTAAGGGCAGAAAAGCAAAGATGAAAACCCAAGCCCTGGGCTGCAGAGATGGTGCGGAGGTTAAGAGTACTTGTTGCTCCTGAAGAGTCCCCAAGTCTAAATCCTACTACCCACACAGTGGCTCACAACCATCCCTAGCTGCAGTTCTAGGGGATCTCATACCCTCTTCTGACTTCTGCAAACACCAGGAATGAACACAGTGTACATACACACAAGGGGGAAAAAAAACAAAAACAAAACAAAAAAACCTCATACAAATAAAAAATGTTAAAGAAATAAACTCAGGTCTTATTTTTGTCATCATAGATCTGGTAGGTGAGGAGCCAAGGACAGGTCTACGACCAGTGAAGCACTCAAAGTCAGGAAAGTCACTGACCCAGTCCCTGTGGCTCAACAACAATGTCCTCAATGATCTGAAAGACTTCAGCCAGGTGGTTTCACAGCTTCTGCAGCACCCAGAGAACCTGGCCTGGATTGACCTCTCCTTCAACGACCTGACTTCCATCGACCCTGTGAGTTTCTAGCCCTGGATATCTAGTCAAAGGGTGGCTTGAAGCCACCATGTCCAGATCACAGCCGTTCTGTTTTCAAGGAGACAGAGGCAGTGTGGTACAGTTCAAAGGGCATAGTTACAGAGACACATAGATAGAGGCAAAAATCTTGGGATTTCCCCTTATTATGTGACTGTCAGTAAGGTAATAACTTGTTTTGTTTTTTTTAGAGACAAGAGTCTCACTATGTATCCCTGGTTGCCCTGGAAATCACTATATAGTCAAGGCTGGCCTTAACTTACAGAGATCCAGCCACCTCTGCCTCCTAAGTCTCAGCGGCTACAGTTTCTTAAAGCTTCAGCCTTCCTTTAATGGGGATAAGATGTCATAATCATAATGGTTTTGTGAGGATTAAATGAAATTAAGCAAAACTATAGTAGTCATCATCAGGCACTTAACTGTCCTGTGCTGGGCTCTGCTGAGGAAAAGGGAGCAGCAAGATAAACCAGTTGCTTTCTGTAAAATCTTAAAAGTTTTAAAGACAGTTTGGCACGTGCCTTTAATACCAGCACTTGAGATACAGAGGCAGACGGATCTCTGTGAGTTCAAGGCCAGACTGGTTTACAGAGCAAGTCCAGGAAAGCCAGAGCTGTTAACACAGAGAAACTCTTGTACCAAAAAACCAAACAAACAAAAACAAAAGAGTTTGGCCACGTATGTTGGTGCTTGCTTGATTTTAGCACTTGGAAGGTAGAGGTTGGAAGATGAGTTATCCCCAGCTACATAGTGAGCTTGAGGCTAGCCTGGACTACATAAGAAAAAAAGGAAGAAAGAACCAAGGGGAAAGAAAATAGAAAAGGAAGCAAACAAGGAAGAAAAATTTTAAAAAGGAAAAGATTTGGGCCCTTCTTGCCCAAGATCCCTATCGGAAGGGAAAGGTTTGGGGCACGATTAGGAGACTGTCCCCCTATGATAAATAATATGAACTCAACTAGGATCTTCAAAGCTTATGTGCTGAGCTGATACTCCCCTGAAGATGGAATCTTAGGTCATGACAGTTGGAAAGGCCTTACCAGCCAAATAAGACTCAAGAAGCAGGAGAGCTGTCACCTGATCAACCGGTCAAATGGATAAACAGAGGGATGACAGCTCTATTTTAGGCTTTCTCCCTAAAAGGGACTTAAAAGATTAATCTTATGAATACATATGAATACACACATAGATAAATGACGGAGCTAGAGAAATGGCTTATTGTTTAATAGCATTTGTTACTGTTGCAGAGGTCTCAAGTTCAGTTCCCAGCACATACATGGTGGTTCACAACCATCCTTAACTCCAGTTCTTGGGGACCTGACGCCCTCTTCTGACTTTCACAGGCACCAGGCTCTCTGCAGGGCACAGACATACATGCAGACAAACACTCATACACATAAAAATAAGGGCTATAAAGGTGGCCCAGCAGAGATGGGTGTGGTGGTGCATACTTTTGATCCCAGCACTCAGGAAGGCAAAGGCAGGCAGGATCACTGTGAGTTTGAGGCCAGCCTGGTCTACAAAGTGAGTCCAGGATAGCCACACACAGAAACCCTGACTTGAATAGCCACAAAAGAAAGAAAAGGGGGAGGAAGAAGCTATCTCAGCAGTTAAGAGCACTTGCTGCTCTTCTAATTCCCACCACCCACATGGTGGCTCCTAACTTTCTATTAACTCCAGTTCCAACGGGTTCAATGGCCTCCACAGGCACTTGACATGCATGTGGCATACATACATACATGTAAGGCAAAATACCCATAAGAAATCATATATATATATTTGTATATATAAAAAATGTTTTGTTTTTCAGCACGGGGTTCTGTGTAGCCCTGGCTGTCCCGGAATACCCTCTGTAGATTAGACTGGCCTCGAACTCACAGATCCAACAGTCTCATGCAGCACCATGCCCAGCTAAAAACATAGTAATTTTTAAAAATAGTGAAAGCAGAGGCTGGAAAGATGGCTCAGAGGTTCAGAGCGCTGGCTACTCTTCCAGAGGTCCTGAGTTCAATTCCCAGCACCCACATGGTAGCTCACAACCATCTATAATGAGATATGGTGCCCTCTTCTGGCGTGCAGGTGTACATGCAGGCAGAACATTATACACATAATAAATAAACCTTTAAAAAAATTGAAAGCATATTAGAGTCATATAAAATGGCTGCAAGGACTGGAGAGGGGGGCCAAGTTGTTCTCCAGTCTTTTCTTGCTCTGCCAGATAGTCTGTTCTGAGCAGAGACCCAGAATCTTTTGATCTCTGCCCTAATAGATCCTAACAACATTCTTCAACCTAAGTGTCCTCTACCTTCATGGCAACAGCATCCATCGCCTAGGGGAGGTAAATAAGCTATCTGTTCTCCCTCGTCTCCGGAGCCTGACCCTCCATGGTAACCCCATAGAGGAAGAAAAGGGGTACAGGTAAGTACCTGGAGCTGGGGTCCAGGTGAGCTTCCCTAAGGAACGAGGGGAGAGCAGACAAGAAATTCCAGACCATTCTTCTGCCACATGTGGGCCACAGGAGGAAGTGGCAGACCTCTCAGCACTCTCCTTGCTCTCAGGATGAACCTAGTTTCCCAGTCATAGTCAAGCCCTCCATTCCTTGCTGTCAGAAGTAGTAGCAGCAGCTGGGGTCGGGGAGGGAGCTGAGTGTGGGGCTGCTCCCATGCCCAAGTCTTCTCCACAGGCAGTATGTGCTATGCAACCTGCCCCACGTCACCACGTTTGACTTCAGTGGAGTCACTAAGGCCGACCGCACCACAGCCGAGGTCTGGAAACGGATGAACATCAAGCCCAAGAAGGTCCGGGTCAAGCAGGATGTACTCTGAGATTCAAAGGACCCCAACACACCTAATGCCCTGAGGATGATCAGCTTGGTTTGACAATAAATGATTTGAGCTGTTCAGCAGATTAAATGTCACCTGTACCTTGTAAAAGATGCCTTTCACGACCTAGCAGCTACCAGTAAACCTTCACAGTGGAGGCAAAAGCCCACTATTCTCTCTGGTGCACCTTCATGGGATATCATGGGAATAGAGTTGGTTAGCAATTTCAAAAAAAAAAAAAAAAAAAAATTTAAAAGAGATTCTAGCTCTGTAGCTCAGGCTGGCTTTGACCTTATAGCAATACTCTTGCCTCAGCCTCCTAAGTGCTGGGATTATGGGACTAAGCCACCATGCCTCACCATAAAGTCCCAAGGTGTGTGGAGCTGCCTTCAGCCTGTAGAGTAGGACTAGAAAACAGCTCGGACGTAATTGTGGTTAAGATTTCATTTCCTAAAGGGCAGCTGTTGCACACATCTTTCACCCCAGCTCTCAGGAGGCAGAGGCAAGCAGGTCTCTGAGAGTTCAAGACCAGCCTGGTCTACAAAGAGAGCTGTAGGACAGCCAGGGCTACATAATAAGATGCTGTCTCAACAGGGGGGAAAAAACTCATTTTCTGAAAAGAATGACCAGCAGAGTACAGTCTCCTCCAACACCCAGGGGCAATATGTAAACCCACTTAGACTGAGCAGAGTGCCCAATAGTCACAGTTGCCTCAGAGTCAAGTCTGTTCAGCTCTGACAGTGCTACCATCAATGGAGAAAGGACAATGAATAAACAGTCTTATCCCGCCTGGGGTTATCCCACACTATGTCCGCTGAGACCTGGGAACCCTGAACTTTATCTGCTAGATCCTCTCTAACCCTGCTGAAGACATCCCCCTGCCTCTCCCTGCTTGTAAACTTGAAGAGCCAAAGGTAACAAGTGAAGCGGTGAGCAGGACAGAGCAGGCTGAACCAGCCACACAAATGAATATATTTCCTTTATCGAGGGGTGACAAACAAAAACAAAGACCAAACACGTAAAACCCAGGGTGCTGGGAATACAAACTCACTCCAGACTCAAGCTCATCTAGACCCTGGTCACAACCCTAGTGAGGCGCCTCTGAGCACCAAGTCAGGGAACAGGACAGGAGTGAACCGGAGGCCAAGAAAAAGGGTGGGAAGGGGGAGCTCCTAGGTGTCCTCGTGTTCACCCCAACAGTGGTATCTCCATCTTCCCAATGACTGTGGAGATCTGCCAGGCCCTGTCCTCTTGGCCCCAACCTTACCCTAGCCAGAGCTTGAAGGCCGATGGCAATTGGTTCTCCCTTCCCTTGCTCGGTCCTCACTTGCTCCGGCTTCTAGGCTTATTCTTTTTCTCCACATTCTTCTCCGTGATTAATAGCAGGTTAGGTACTGTAGAAAGCCACAGTGAGGCTGGGGGCCAGAAGAGGTGGGGTGGAGACGGGATAAGGACGAGGGAAGAACTGTCCCAGGACCCCTCTCTTCATGGGATCCCAAACTGTACAACCAGCTCTTCTTTTGCGTCCACACGGATCTGAGAAAGTGCACTGTAGGCATAAGCAGCTATCCTGGAGACCTGAGACAGAGGGGCCAGGGAGGAAATCAACAGACATGAGAGGGAACTGGGAAAGTAGGGGGTGGAATGGCAATAAAGGAAAAAGGAACGATGAAGGACTCCAAGCCAAAAGGAGCTGGGTGTGGTGGTGCCTACTTACAACCCCACCACTCGGAGGGTCACAAGTTCAATGCCAGTCTGGGCTGTAACAATGAGTCCCCTCAAACACTAAGGGTTAGGTTAGGAGTGTAGCTTACTGGTAGACCACTTGCCTAGCATGCACAAAGCCTTGGGTTATTATCTCTGGAAGGAAGGAAGAGAGGACAAAAACAAGGGCAGATGCTGGAAGAATAAAGGCTAGGGAAGAAATAAGAAGGCTGTGTAGACTACCAAATGCCAGGCTCCCTCCCCCGTGAAGCCGTGTGGGAAGGGGGCAGGGACAGGCCAGCAGTACTCACCTGCTGCAAGTCCGAGAAGGGGATAGGCTCGCTGGCCAGCACTTGGTGGGGCTGGCTGGTGAGAGACGGCAGCGGTGGCAGCTTCTTCCAATGGGTCAGGCTGCTGCTAAGCACAGCCAAGCGGGTACTGGCCAGGAGGGAGGGGACAGGGAAGGACAATTAGGCTACAGCTTGCCCTGCTCTGCCCAGGCAAGCCTCAGCCCCTCAGGCCAGGGGGCCATGGCGACATGGTACAGCTCATCACAAACTCCCTCGACTGTACTCCTTTGACCTGATCGCCCCTGATCAAACACTGTGCAAACAGCTGACCTGAATGCCAGAGGCATCTAAGTGACCTGTAGTCGGTCTTCTGGGCTGCACTCAAATCAAGGGCCTGGGCAGCAGACCAGACTCCAAAGCTGGAAAGGAAGATCTAAGAGGTGGCTCTGTGCTTACCTGTACTGCCTTGCCCGGTCCATGTACTCATGCTGCTCCATGCCTTGGGAGTCTGCAGCAGACACGTCAATGATGTTGCTTTGAAGAGAAGAGAAAGAGAAGATATGACAGGTGCTTCAGAGAGGCACAGAGGAGAACCAGTGCTGGGTGCCAGTCCCAAGGAAATCTGACACTACTACCTCCTCCTGCCCATTGTAACAGGGCAGAATCTAGAGACATTTCTCCCTAGTGCCCTTGTCCCATCCCCTATGTTCCAAACTTGGCTGCCTCTGCCCCATCCTGGTCCTGTGACACTCACCTAGCTGTCTTGGCAAGGATGGAGGAGAGCAGGGCCTGCTCATCTGTGCGAGCTGAAGGTAGGCTATGGTAGTTGGGCTCGGCTCCATTGAGGGCTTTGGTAGGGGTGCTGGGATCCAGCAATAGCTTCCTCTCCTCCCGATCCTAGGAGAGGCCAGTAGAGGAAAGTCAGTCTCAGGACCTTAAATCTACTATTCCTTTCATCTCACAGGCTCTCCCTCAGATCAGCCCTGGCCTCTAAATACTAACACTATTTCTATAAAGATGACCCAAAGTGAGCAGATGGTGCAAAGTCAGAAAACATTCACCCTCTGACTTGCCCCAAGCTTGTGCTCTAGGATGAACCTAAAGAAACTGAAAAACATCCGGAGAGGAACAAAACAAGCATTCATCAACAGACTTGGAGCCTCAGTAACTGGTCAAACACCTACTGACAAAGGCTATTGGAAACTGGCAGGAAGTCAGAAGAAGTGGGAACATAACAAAATAAGGAAATAGAGGAGAAATCAATGCAAGTCAGAAGCCCAAGAGAAGCCTTCCTGGTCGCCTGGATAAAGAACTTCCCAGGAAAGCTGTCTCCCCAACAATGGAAGGCCTGATGAAGCCAGACAAGGCCCTGGACCCCAAGAGAAAGTCAGGCCCATTTTATCTTGCCATTCCTCACATTAGCTTAGTGTAGAAACTCCAAGCCCCACAGCCACCAATGGCCCCTCTCTTTTCTTTGTTCCTTTCTCTCCAGGATCTTTGTAAAGCCACCACAAGAACGTAACACACACATGTGCGCAAGACACAGTCTTTCCATGTTCCTCAGGCTGCCCTGGTACTATATAACCCAGTTGGCCTGCAACTGGCCAGTTCTCTACCTCTTCCCCCATTGCTGAGATTACAGGTATATGCTGGCTGTTCTTTTCTGCTCTCAAGTGTTTCCCCTCCTGTGGGCTGGTGGTACCTGGTACATGCTGACCTGAGAGGAACAAAGGAGCTGCTCCTCTCTGCCAATACACCCACCTCAGTCTTCAGCAACCCTACTAACCTACACAACCACCAGAAGTGACTCAGAATTAAACCAAAACTCCACCTTCTGTAACTGTATTTTCCGTATCCTGGTTGAGACCCTTCTTCTAATCTACTACTTTTTAGGCTCAACACTGTCTTAAGTCAGTCAGCTGCAGCTCACTGCTGGCTTTGTGACAGGGGCCATGTGAGTAAGCAGACCTGCTGGATGTCTTCAAACCATGAACGGCTGCTTCTGAAGGAATACAGCATGTAGAAAGAGGGAATGCTGGCCAACACCGACCCATCAACTTTCAGTGGCCAACTGCCAGCCTCAGTACTCTCTTCCTGGCCCGTCTGAGTCCCTACCACAGTTTCCCTGTTTCAGGAGCCAGCTCCCTTGCCCACAACTGCCCCTACAGAGAGAGGGCTACTTCCTCCTGCCTTGTCTGCCCCACCCAAGACAGCCGTAGCCTTTCCACACTGTTCTTCCTCCTCAGGCATAGATTACCCAAATGTCCTCAAACCATTTGACCCAGTTCACCATGGTGAAAGGAAGCTTCTACGGGATCTTCTGCCCCATTACCTCCAGGTTCCCAATCTTTCTCCTTCCTGAATATTAAAGATAAAATGGCTAGAAAGATAAAATGTTTGTCAAAGGTGAAACACCTATAAGGAAAGCTGGCTCATAATGACAGCTATACTGCTCTCTGCCTGTCCTTTTCCCAGCCCCACTCCTGGCAAACCTTTCTTCAGGACAGGGCAGTGTCATCTCCACCCCCACTCCCCCACTCAGGAGTTCAAGAACAAGGTTGTCTTTCTAATTCCCTGAAGAGGCCCAGCAACCCCAAAGAGCAGAAAAACTGCACCAGGAGGAGCAAGGCAAGCCTTTAGCCCCAGTGCTCAGAGGAGGCAAGCAGTTCTCTTGCAGCCTGGTCTAGAAGCAAGTTCCAGGCCGGTCAAGGCTATATAGTGACACCACCCCCAACCCCATGAAAAGAAGTTAATGACATCACCTGACACTCACCTGAATGAGTGATACATGGGATAGATCTGTCACATCAAAGTTTGCCTCCCAAGCTAATACAACCAGAGTCCAGATTTCACTATTTACTTTAGCAGAGACCCATGGTGTCTCCCCAGGACTACCTCAGAGCTTGTCCCAATACTTAAAAAATGTTATTAGAACACCTTGGCTAGTGTAGCTTTTTGGCTGTAATTTCACATGCATTGGTGTTTTGCCTGCATGGGTGTCTGTGTGATGATGTTAGATGCTGGAGTTGCAGACAGGTGTGAGCCGCCATGTGGGTGCTGGGAATTGAACCTGGGTCCTCTGGAAGAGCAACTAGTGCTTT